AACAAAGACTAGAGAGAGGCAGGACCTGTGTGTTTACAAGGAATCTAGGGGTCAAAGGCTGCATGGGGGTCAAGGATGAGGTGCCTTAACTCTGACAAGCCATCTACTCCAGGAACAGGGTCTTTTCTTCCTGCACCTCGAGATAGGAGCCTCACTTGGAGAGTGGAGAAAGGACTTGGAGCTGGGCTAGAGGCACAGAGAGAAAGGCAGAGGGCCCAGGAGATATGGGAGTGGCCACCCAGTGGCAGCCTGAATGGGAAGCATCCAAGGCCACAGTTGTGGGAAACCCAGCTCACATGGCATGATCGGAGCCCACAGTGCTCAAATAAACCATGATGGAGGTGACAGTTGGAATTTTATTTAGTTGGCCTCCTGAACATGTACACATACTCAGATTTTCTGTAATAGTTACACGTACTCAGATTTTCTGTAATAGCTGGTACTAACATTCCTCTGAAGAACACTGCTAACCAGAAGCCATAAAAGAAAAAGGGAGCAACTGACTACATGAAAGTAAAAAAGATTTCTGCATGATTAAAATAACCCATACACACACACAGAAGCAAAGTGATACAATAAATGACAAATAGAAAAATATCTGAAGCTCACAGCACTCAGAACTCACAGCACTAAGTTCTGTTATAGCACTTAGTAACAGAAAGACTCCTAGCAATCAAGGAGAATAAAGACCAACAACACAAAAGAAAACAGGTCACAGGAAACATATAGGCATTATCAGAAACAAAACACAAAAGGACCTTACATATAAAAAGAGGATCAACCTCACTCAATTTTGAAAAAAGGTAAATTTTTAAAAAATGCTGAAATATCATTTTTTGTCTAAAAATAAAGCAGCTGGTGAGCCACTAAAACACATCACTGTAAAATTTTGGAAAATAAAAATGAGCCCCCAAAAGCTTCCAGACAGAAAAAAATACTAACTAATGAGATTCAGACTGGTGTAAACTTCTCATTCAAAACCATGGATGATAGAAGAGACTGGAAAAAGGCTTTCAAAAACTCTCAGGGGAAAAAAACATTTTAAAGCTAAAACTCTATACTCAGCCAAAGTATTTATTTTGTATGATGGTCACATAATATACAACTCCTGGACACCCTTAGGGAGTTACTAAGGTAAAACTGGCAGTTTGGGGATGCAAAAACTAATGGGACTAAAGCCAGGGTTCCATGAGAGCAATCCCAGGACAGCCACTGGGCAGCAGGCCTGGGAAGCCAACAGGAAGTCAGCACATGCCTAAGAATATTGGGCAATAGACAATGGGAGTAAAATAATGCAAACAGACGTTAGGAGCATGAGCACAGAAAAGATACGTAGTCATTTCCAACAAGAAAAGACAAAAACCACCAGAAGAGACTGGAAAAACAAAAAATTTAAAAACAAAAAATCATGGTCCAATTGTGAAGAGAACAAAAATGAGGTACATTTTGAGAAACTGGTAGATTATAGGACAGAGAACCCATTTTACCTTGATACTAACAACTTCCTTTGAGTGGCACAGGTGATGTGACAATAATATAGAGAAAGAATGTAACCAGAGCCCACTCCAAAATATTTACAGATCATAATAATAGAAGTGCTATTTATTGGTTTTTAGTTTTAAAATTAATCTATAGAAAAAACACAGGAGAATTTAATTATGGCTACAGAAGAGAATACAAATATTAACTACTCTGACGATGTCAAACAAAAGGCAGGGGAGACAGAAATTGAAGATGGTGAAGGTGGGAGAGGAGAGGCAGGGGAGCTATATGTTCATGGCCTCATCTCACTCAATGGATGAGGAAAATCTGAAAGCTGATGATGAAGATGGTGAGATGAAGAAACTTTGAAAACTGATGATGAAGATGGTGGGATGAAGAAACTTTGAAAACTGATGATGAAGATGGTGGGATGAAGAAACTTTGAAAACTGATGATGAAGATGGTGGGATGAAGAAACTTTGAAAACTGATGATGAAGATGGTGGGATGAAGAAACTTTGAAAACTGATGATGAAGATGGTGAGATGAAGAAACTTTGAAAACTGATGATGAAGATGGTGGGATGAAGAAACTTTGAAAGCTGATGATGAAGATGGTGGGATGAACAAACTTTGAAAACTGATGATGAAGATGGTGGTAGTGGCAGCAGAGGCATGAGTTTTTCACTGTCTCCAGTAGAGACAATACTGGTTTGCCAGTTACAAGGAGCTACCACACCAACACAAGATGTTAGTAAAAGGAAAAACTGAGGGCGGTGGGCCGGCAGAGTGAGCATATGTGAACTCAGTGCTTTCTGCTTTAAACTTCAAGCTACTCTAGAAAGTAAGTCTACCAATTTAAAGAAAGAGAGAGAGAGAAAGGTAGGCAGGCAGAAAGGGAGAAAGGAAAGAAAGATAAGTACTCTTAAAAATGATGTGAGATAAATTGACAAATTTAGAAGACAGGCCAAAAGATCCAACATATATATGATAGGCATCCATGAGGAAGAAAACCAAAGCAAAGGAACAGAACAAATTCTTAAACTATAATTCAAAGTAAAAGAAGATTTGATCCTATCTACTGAAAAGATTTACCACGTACCTGGGAAAACTGACCAAGGATGATTATTACTCTGACATAGTCTAGTAAAATTAGGCAAAAACATAGGTGCTTTTAAGAGAATATTAGATTGTCATCAGACTTTTTGACAGTAACACTTTATGCTAGAAGAAAGCGGAGTGATATATCTATAATACTCAAGGAAAGAAAATGTGAGCCAAGAATGTTGTTTCCACCAAACTGACTTTCAGGCATAAAAAACACAGACAAATGTGACCAATATGCAAGAACTCAAGAAACACTGTTCCTATGAATCCTTCTAAGGAATGTAATATAGAACAAGTTTCAGACAAGCAAAATGATCAGAGAGAAGGAAAAACAGAATGACTTGAAGGCAAAAATAAACATTTATTTACCAAGCGTGAGTTGGAAGGGACAGGGCACAGTATATAACAGCTGTATGTTCTGACAATGTAGATATAGTACAGTTGGAAAATGATATGCAAAAAGTTGTTTTAAATTGTGGGCAAGCATACTTGCTAAGCCGCGTCAGTCGTGTCTGACTCTTAGTAACCCTGCGGACTGTAGCCCGCCAGGTTCCTCTGTCCATGGGATTCTCCAGGCAAGAATACTGGAGTGGGATGTCATGCCCTCCTCCAGGAGATCTTACCAACCCAGGGATCAAACCTGTGCCTCTGGTGGCTTCTGCATTGCAGGCAGATTCTTTACCACTGAGCCACCAAGGAAGACAAATTTTGGGCAGTCACTGTATTAATGGTGGCAGAGTATTTCTGTTGTTAACTGAAATTAGAATGTACATAATTATAGCATAAAGTAATATATGCTTTTAGAGTAATTATATTCTATTTGCATCATCCTCTGTGTCCCTGAGAAGAAGGATTCTCAGTGTGGAAGAATGAACAAAGATATTAGAGGAGATTAAATAAAAAAAACTGGTATCCCAGAATTTGAATTACAAGTATCAGTATGAACTCATAGCTATTTTATCTTTTTATAAAGTCTCTCCCTCTCTTCCCCGTTCCTCCTGATAGCTATCTACCTATGCATGTGCACAGTTCGCTTGACTCAGGAGCCAATCTAAAGAGCACCACACTGGCCAAAAATGGGACAATTTGAGCATCAATAAGGATAATAATTGCAGTGTACTGAAACACCACAACTTGTTTAAATTCACAAGTTATTTGGGAAGCCCAAGGATTAAAAAAAAACCAAAAAACCTAAATGATCACCTTTAGGAAAGAGAAAGGAGTCAATTTAATATCTTCAAAACTGGTAGTTAAAGGAAAACAAGCTGTGATCCTACATTTGTTATACAAATTGTACCTCTGTGTAACTAAACAGTAGACAACAGGAAGTTTCTCACTGTACACAGGAAGTTTCTCACTGTATGAGTACGCCAGCTAATGAACAACAAATGATAGAATCAGAATATATCCATCTGGCAACTGCCAATGAATTAATGGATATGGACACTTAGGTATTAGTGGTGCCAATATCAAAAAATCAGACAAAGCAAAACCATGTGCTCTTGATAGAATAAACTATAAAGTGGTCTTGCCCGAAAAATAAAAAAAACCTTAAATTTGGTCAATTCTTCAAATACCAATTTGTAGGAAATACTAATAGAAAAATATCACAGGAATGGAATCCATAAAATTCAGACCATATCCTATTCTCTTCAAGAAAAATCTGACCCAATTTCTTTAATAAATAAACCATACAGGAGGTTTTTTGTTTGTTTGTTTGTTTGTTTGTTTTCAACCATGTGCATGTATTACTTGATAAGTATTTTTCATCCTTAAAATTTTTTTCTAGCATTCAATTAAACTATACTCTCTTAAAAGACATGGACAAAGTCTCTTCATTTACATATCCTCAAGGCCTGGTACATAAGCTGCCATTTATGAGGTTCTCAGTATTATCTAAATCAATCAATAAATCAGTGAGATAATCTACATAATCCTGGATTCCCTGGTAACTCTTAAATTAGTGATAGGCAGCTAGTTCATATGGTAAAGAATCCACCTGCAATGCAGGAGACCTGCGTTCAATCCCTGGATTGGGAAGATCCCCTGGAGAAGGGAATGGCAACCCATTCCAGTATTCTTGGCTGGAGAACTCCATGGACAGAGAAGCCTGGTGGGTTTGCAAATAGCTGGATACCACTGAGTGACTAACATTTTCACTTTCAGTGATATGAGAAGCAGAAAATACTAGGAGTAACCAGTAATGAACAAAGGTAGAAAATACTTGTCTTTCAAGTTTTGTAGGCCCAATAAAATCATGAACACAGATGGCAATCTGTAACAGTAGAATTTAGCTTAAGGATCAATGGCTTAATTTTTATTTTTTAATATACTTTACCTGGACTTTGATTATTTTGATCTGCTGTAGTCCTAGAGAAAAATTCCCCTCTTTCTGATAAACCTTAAATTTCCAACTGCCTTTAGACATTCTTTGAAGAGAAATATCAAATAATGACAAATTAAATGTCTACATCAATATTTATTTTTCTAACACAAGTTTATAATTTTCAAATCGACCACTATAAAATCTGGCTCTCACATTTTCCATATAAATAAATCAATTCAACAAATACTTCATTCCCAGAGGACACATGAGAAATACACCTGCATGTAACACTCTCCTATTCAAAGCTCCCATAAAAGGTCTGGAGAGTTACAGGAACTAAAGTAAATAGCCATCATAAAAAGCCAATAAATTCTGAAGAAATGGCTTTCACTTACCTAACACAACTCTAAAGTCTTTACTATTCAAATGTAATATCCAAGTATTGGTGGATTTTTTTCCTGCTCTATATACTCCTTGAGACTTTCCCATTAATTTCCAGAGTATAATCATAAATAGAAGCACAGCAAGGTTTAATATTTATGGTTGCTTTTATCTTTGAGGCTCCAATGCAGAAGGTTTCTTTGTCTATCAAGCTGAACATCCATTCTTTTCTTAGCACTTTCTAAGTAATAAAATACAAAAGTTAAAAACATACAAATGGGAGAAAATTTAATGTTTAACTTCAGAAATAATATAATTAAAGGGAATAAATGGCAATGCTATTTAGATGTGATTTTATTACTTCATGATACAAAGATTTTAGAAAATAAAGGCATTTTAAAGTTAAATATTAGATGTGTTATAGTCTATGAATTCCAAAACTATTATTAGTTTTCTTTGTATGGCAAAATGATACAAGCCAATATGTAAAGATATAACCACTGTAAGGGAAAGCATTCAATTCACATAGGAAGAAAATACATTAGCAAAATCAAGCTTCTCGGTATACTATATTTCACAAAGTAACATTTTTTCTTACCTTCCCATTTACATACACCACTCATTTGCCTGATGCAGTCCCATGTTCAAATTCAATTTTATGGACTCGATCACTTAAAGCAACTTTCCAAACAGCTACAAGATCTGTCATATTTTCCAGGCTTTAAGGAGGGCTAAGAGAATAAAATTAAGCAATTATAATAGGCAAAAACAGTAATAGAATAACCAATTAATCCTTCCAAGATGAAAATATCAGATCTTGAAAAGCCCTAAAATTACAAAATATTAAAGTGGTATAAGCTAAGAAAGCCTACTTACAATACATGTAACTATTTTCACCCTGTTATGCATTCTTCTTTTAAGATGAAATTACTATCTATGGGTATACAGTCAGATAATTCCAAAGTCACCTTAATAGTAATAGGATTAAGAATCAATCAGTTTATTCAGGACAATATTCTAAGCTTGGCCACAGAAAGGTCAGTAAAAAGTTTCTACTCCTCCCTCCTGTCATTTAAAAAGCAGAGGATTTAATTTTGTTTTTATCTTTTCAGATCCTATCACTCTATTCTTAAAACCTTTTATACTTGAGCCAATAACTAGGGATTCATTTTAACAAAAAAGGTTCTAACTTAAAAATACTAAGATTGAGAAAAACAGTCATGGAAGAAATGTTCCATTATATATATAAAAATGTTATGGAAGACAGCAATCTTGTCATTATTACAGGAAATCTTATTAAAAATACAAAGGATTCTGTTTTGTGACATTTCTGGTACAACTTAAACATGTATTTTATATTAATGTCTTAATATAAAATATATATCATATACAATGCATATATAACATATAAGTAATATTTTTATACTGATATAGAGTTTTAGCTTTGAGAGAAGTAACATTACAGCAGTAATGTTCATAACTAACAGTTATTCAGTACTTACTGTGTGCCAATCACTGTTCTAAGACCTTTACACACATTAACTCAAAGAATCCTCACCATGAGGTGGTTACTATTATTCCACTATTTACCGAGACTCAGACAGGCTAAAGGCTTGTCTAAGGTCACAATGACAGTAAGTGGCAGATGGGATGTAATTTTAGGAGTCTGGTCCCAGAGTCTATTCTCTTAACCACATCCTCCTCTTCATTCACTCTAATCTCCTTTGTAGGCTCTAAACCAGAAACAGTAAATAGGTTTCATATCATTTTGGAAGTGATTGCCAAGAATTTTGTGCTGAGAGGGATTTGCAGACCTCATATCCAGGTTTTATGGGAAAAGATGCCACATTAGTGATGGCCACCTCCATGCCAGGTGTTCACCACCCTTGCTGGAAATCACAGAGAAGCAAAACTATGCATTCTGCAGTATTACAAAATGTGTTCTCCAAAAAAGTAGCCTGGATACTCTCTTGAATGATTAAAGCCCATCTTTAAAGCTTCATAACCCAGTTTTATCACAATGCAAGACATTTACCTTTTGGCATCTTCAAAGACAGGACTGTCATCTCCAGATGCCATGGTTGGCAAAACAGTCTTTAATCCAATTAGGAGCCAGGAAAGAAAAAAGCAGAAGTGCAGCAAAGAAAGCTTGAGAGCAACAAAGATGATATGTGCAAAGAGTTTTTCTAACTTCGCAATCCATTTCTTAAAATGCATGCAGTTTCTGATGAAACAGCTTTTACATACAATAGAACTGGAATCTCTAATTGTCAGGAAAAGAAATTAAATCATGCAAGTCACCCAGTCAAATTTTTCCCTGTTATGGATTTATAATTTCCTAAAACTAAGAGAATAAACTCTAGTTTATTTCAAGTATCATACCATGTCAGAGTTGCAAGAGACATAGAGGTTCTCTGGGTCCCCTGCTTCTCAAATTGAGAAGAAGCCCCAAGGGTATGAGGCAGTAGGTCAGAGAATACAGAAAACCCCAGGATAAACAGAATGCATCCTCTGGAGGCAGTCATGTTACATGGTAGTAACAAATTTAAAATTAAATCTTTATATTAAAATTTAGAAAGCTGTATTATGGTACAATACATAATTAAAAAATTTTTTAAAGATAACTTCAAAAATAAGTTAAGCTTGTCAGAAGCAGCCAGGGATGTGCTAGTTTACTTTCTAAGACCAAACTTAATTTGCCCACTTACTCAAACCCAATTAATTTACTAGTGCCAATAATGAATTCACAAAAGTTATATGGTTTGCTCAGGTCACCAGAAGAGTCCAAGCCAAATCCAGGGTCCAGAACACCTGTGTAATTAACTAAACAGTATCTGGGCTATAATGCTAAAAATCAGAAGCAAATGTAATACTCACATGAATAGGAAACCATCCACATTTGAAGATTTAGGATTAACAACTGTACCCCTGTCAAACCTATTGAATAATAAATTCAACTATTTTTTTGCTTCCAAGACCTACTCTAGTCTGTCTTTTCCATATAGATGTCCAAGGGTGCTCTCTCCTTGTAAAAATGGGAGATTGCCAACCTTTTTTTGTCTGGAAATAACCAAATGTGACAAATTGCTTTTTGAAAGATATTAAAGAAGAACTTGTCACCCATAAAAGTAATCCAACAGGCAAAGAAAAGCTAAACATTTTAGAATAAAAACTAAAGATTCAAAATACATTGCACCTAAAATAAATCCCTTTTTGTAATTAGCATCTTATATATTTGTGGATTTTTCTAGTCTTAAAAATACTTCTTAGGATATTTCCTATGAAAGTGGAGGGTATCCTGTAACTATCAAAGCAAAAAGAACACAGAGCAATAAAGTAAGCTAAATAGCATAATATAACCTAGGGTATGTATCTTTCATAAATCATAGTAGAGTTTGGGATATCACTTAGATTTTGCTCTACAACTTTTAGAGACTCTAGAAAGTTCAGTAATTCAACAAACTTGAAAGAACTGCCCAGTTTTTCACTTTAAGGAATTTCAAATATTACCACACTAAGATAAGGCTTAGTATCCTCTTAATTATATTTCATATAAAGCATAAAAGATAACACAACAAATTAGACGAGAGGTTAGAAACCAAGGTCACATAAAATATTCTCTCTACTATCAACATTCATTCATACGTTCAACATTTTTACTTAGGGAGTATCAGTTGAAGGTGTTGAAAATGTTTTGGAAATAGTGGTGATGGCTGTACATCATAAATGAACTTGATGTTCACTTAAGTCACTGAACTGGACATTTTTAAATGGCAATTTTTATGTCATATATATTGATCACAACTTTTAAAAATTAATACTGCTATACACACAAAAAAACCCACTGAATTGTATCCTTTAGGGGCGAATTGAATGGTATATGAATCATATCTCAACAAAATTATTTAAAAAAACACAACCCGGGTGTCCTGCCGGTAGTGTTTCTTGGAATATGATTTCCCTTATGACCAAGAGATGATCACAGCTGTACATGTCCCAGGTTTCTACCTTACTCATTTGAATAATAAATGTACCTGTCACACAAATCTCTAAGCTATTGTCATATTCTAAATTCATCTGCCAAGCTAGCAGTCATCAGTCACTCATATGCCAGGCACTAAGCTCAGAGTGAGAGGCTCTGCAGAGACAAAAGATGATTACAGCACAGCCATGGGACTGTCCTTGGAAAGGGAAGCAGTCAAGACCAGAACTGGGCTACCCAGGTGGCTCAGAGGTAAAGAATCTGTCTGTCAACGCAGGAGACGGGGGTTCAGGGGGGTGTGGGGGGTGGGGTGGGGTGGTGCTGTTCGATAAATCCCAGGTCAGGAAGATCACCTGGAGGAGGAAATGGCAACCCACTCCAGTATTCTTGCCTGGAAAATCCTTGGACAGAGAAGCCTGGTGGGCTAAGTCTCAAAACTGAGTCAGACACGACTCAGGGACTAAACAATAGCAAAGAACCAGAAAAGGCCCCCAGAGAAAGGATCCTGGCCCTGCCAAATGGGTGGGAAGACCAGGGAAGCCTATGCTTTAAAACTTGAGAGAAAGGAATTCATCCACTGTCATTTTAAACTTATACATACATTTAATTATCAGTTTTGATCTCAAGGAGATCAAACTGGAAAATGATCATTACAAAGTAAAATTCCCTCTATTTCAGCACACAGCTTTTAAAATGTAAGTAAAAAGGATGGAAAAACAAATTTCATTTATTTTCACTGATAAGGATAATGTCACTTACTTAAAAGATTACATGTCCTCACGGCAAGTTTCTTGAGTCTCTAGAGACACATCCCTCAGCATAATCATTTAAAATCCCTCTCCTAGCAACTCAACATCCATGTTTCAGAGTAGGACTTTAAAACGTTTCCACTATTTATCTAATCCCAGCCTGAATTTTGCTTTAACTTAGATTTAATCGTACTGGGGACTGTAATGCTTTATCCAAGCTAAACCTAAGTCGGTTTTAAAAATTACTAAGGTATTCAGTTTCTTTTCAGCAAAGCTCTAGGTAAGGCCAGCTATTGCACAAGGCACGTCAAACTTAACGAAGAGGTGTTGACGGTGCCTGCGGGGTCAGCACTGGGACCTCCAACAAAGTCTTTCAGTTAGCTCTCTGAGCCAGGTGTTCCCAAATGTGAGGCACAAAAAACGCGAATAACTTTTCCAAGGAGCATTTTCCAATGGGTACCGCAAGCCTCTCTACACAATAAAAAAACCAGAGGGAACAGTGCTCAACGAATTGTTTTTGGTGAAAACCACCCCTATGTTCACCATCGTGGAGATAATCCGTGGAGTGAATCACAGTTCTGTCACTCAACAAGCGTCCAGCCCTGGTCAGGCGCGGAAAACCTGGCACCAAAGCACCCGCTCGCGGCCAATAAAAAGGATGGAGACAAACATCAGCGCGCGCAGACGCGTGGGATGTATTGGTAAGACAAAGAAGCCAGGCTGCAGCACTTTGTGATCCGGGCTCTGCAAAAATACAGCCGGCTCATTTTTGCAGGGAAAAGGAGACTGGAAGGAAAGACACCTTAATGCTAACCCGGTGCTCCCCGGCAGCGAAGGTTCCGCTCCTGCGCTTCCTTCCCTGTGACGTCGGCTCCACTTTTCCGACTGCGACAAATGAATTTATAGTCGGGCAGAGGCCGGAGCCGGGGGTTCCAGGGCCTGGCCGAGCAGGAGCAAACCGCCGCCCTGCCGGGTCTCCGCCCCGCCAGCGGCCGGGTCTCTGCGAGACGCCCGGAGCGCCCTCCCCGCCGCCCGCGCGGGCCTAGGCCTCTCCGCGGGGTCGCACCGCCGCCAGGACACCGCCCACTGCCCAGCACGCCCGTCGCCGGCGTCGCCGCAGCCCGGAGATGGCGGCAACCCGCACCGCGGCGGGAGCGCCCGGCGCTGCGCGCAGGGGCTTCCGGGCCGGCCGGGCTGCCCCACCTGGGCCGCGACGCTCACCTGGGCGCCGTGGGGCTCTGGGGGCTCTGGGCCCAGAGACTGGTGGGTTCCGCCGACTGGACCTCTTAGGCCCTTCGCCGAGAACCAGACGCAGCCTCCGCGGAAGCGAGAGCTCCGAGCGCGCCGACTCTGTCGCGCTTCAGGTCCCCGAGGTGCCCAGAGCCAACCGCCGCCCGCCCCTCCCCGGCGCGGCGACCCAACCCCCGCCGCTGTCCGTGCGGCCGGCTTTGCGCTCTCATCCGTTCCTGAGACGCCTGCGTGAGAACCCGCTGACAGAGGGCGCTGGCTGGACGCTGGAGCGAACCGGGTGGGCAAAACCAGACCTTGCCTGCTCTGAAGCACGGGGCAGGTAAATCCGATCATGGCATTGTCTCCTTGAAACTCTGTAAAGCTTCTGATTACTCCTAGAAAGATCAAAACTCGTTAGGATGGGCATGAGGCCCCATGCATGATGTTGCCCCGGTCTCCCCTGGCTTCGCTTAGATAGATCCTCACATGATGTGAAGTCCTTCACCCCAGGGCCTCTGCAGATGCTCTTCTCTTTGCCTGGGCGCTCCTCCCTGCCTCTTCCCTTAGTTAACCTCCATTGCGATTGAGATTGTTCTTCAAATGTCATTTCTTAAGAAAAACTATCCTAAGACTTGCAACACCTGGAATTCTCCTCAGTTCTGTTCAAGTTGTGCAAGTATTCGTGTAGTCTTTGTTGAATGTACAGCATAATAGGGTTTCCCGGGGGTTCAGCGGTCAAGAATCCGCCAGCAATGAGGGAGAACTGGGTTGGGCAGATCCCCTGGAGGAAGCACCACAACCCACTCCAGTATTCTTTCCTGGAGAATCCCATGGACAGAGGAGCCTGGCGGCTGCAGTCCATGGGGCCGCAAAGAGTCGGACACGACTGAAGCGACTGAGTGCGGCTCCCTGGCAGCTATTATAGTAGGCTGAGGTCTGTGAAGTCATGGACCATGGCCGCTTGGGTCTCACTGTAGCAGCTCCCACGTCTGCACAGTGCAGGCTCCTACTATGCTCTGATAAGTGTTGAATGAATGAAGAGTAGACCTGAGTAATGTTTCATGTGGCCTTGATTTTCGTTAAGGAAGAGACAGCAATCACTGCAGAGGATAGGATGGTTGAGTGAGCCATCTGAAAAGAGCAGCGAGTGGTCCCTGGGGAAAATGGATTCAGCAGCAAAATAAACACGTGAAAGGGTTCTCTGGGGGCTCTGAAGATTTGAGGGCAAAGGGACATGCAGGTCCCAGTTTCTTCCCTCAGCTTGATGTTAATGTAAAGAAGGATTGTTTCACCTATGGGATTGGTAGTGAGGATGCTGAGCAAGTATGTGAGAGAACAGCAGTTGAGAAACAATAAAGAACAATCTGTTGATTAGGTTAACTAAATCTTCGAAGTAATGGACTGAATTCCCAAGGAAATTATGTTACAGGGATTCTGCTTAGCACTGATTTCTTGTTTGCTACCCTGTATTGAAAGCTCCCTGGAGACAAAGACTTTTCATATTTGCATTTTCTTCTGCACCCGTGTCTTGAATAGAGACTTTTCAATAAATGATGATTGAAAGAATGAACCAGGGAGATAGGGGAGAAGGCAAAAGGCCCCAGAGTGGAAATTTCCAGAAATAGATGAAGATGCATCCCTAATTCCGTTTTCTTGTCCTTAGATTTTCTGAGAAACACTTGTGAATTGTTGGGTTAGGGCCAGGAAACCCTGGTTGGGCAGCAGCTCAAAAATATTGTTTAATGAAGGATCATATTTTCTTGTAAAAGTTTGGGAATCAGAATATCTTTTACAAGACCAATAAGGTATAATTTATTGAATGCTTGCTTTGTGCCTTGTATATTATTGCCTGTAGTTCTCACAACAGTCCAGTAGTTATTCCCATTTTACATAGACTCAAAGCCCTACAGAAGTTGCAGGGCCAGCACATGAAGCCAGCCTGTAGAATTTTCAAAGGTCATATTATCAGAGTCTGCTGTTAGAAAAGTATTGTGCTTGAATATAGATCCTGTCTTAGGGGGTCTGGGGAGCACCTCTGCCTAAGGGCCCCAGAGTGCAGAGGGGTTCAGCCCACTCATGAAGTGCATTCAAGTCTGTCCCCTGAATAGGTGAGGCAATCTGATTTCGCCACTGACTTATTCTGTGCCAATGTTTCCTTCTTGGGTATAGTTTCTGGGATATCTGGAATTAAGGAATATGCCAGTTTAGGCTGTATTTTCTACCTACTTATTCCCTGGGCCCTGCACACTGGAGATAGGCCTGGTCACTTGTTATCAAAGAGGATTGTTACAAAAAGAAACTGTGAACAAAACACCGTGAAAAGTATTGACCTGAGTATGAAACATACTCACCTGGTGATCCTGCTTTTGACTTTATTTCCACTTTGAGATTGTTTTCTTGTTTCCTGAGAAGTGCCTGGATGTTGCTTTCTCTAACCTCTCAAACTACCTCTCACCAGCCCACCCATAGACATCAGTGATTTATTTTAAGAGAGCACCTAAAACCGCTTTCATTCAAAATAGTCCATTTTTTCATTGGGCCTCCTTTGGAAAAGGGAATTGTTAATGAATTAATGGATTTTCTGAAATTACTTCTTAAACAGAAAGAATGGACATCAAAATTAAAGGGAAAAGTTACATCACCTGATACCTACCGGTTTAAAACTTTCCATGTGCCCTTCCAATATCGGTCCAGCATGACTGTTGGATATGTGTTAATGGAAGCTGCACCAGAGACTTTCAAATGAGCCCAGAGCCCAGGATTCTGGACTCAGAGGACTGTGTGTCAGCACCAGTGCCAGTAACCAGTCTCCTGCTGCTAGCCAGGCTGCTGCTGCTTGGGCCTCTCTCCTTCAGCGCAAAGAGCCTCTGGCTCTACCTACACAAAACACGGAAAGTGGAGAAGGATCAAACCAAGATGGACTGATAAACTTCAAACCAGAAAAATTTGACAGTTTTAGGAGAAAATAGATTTTGGTCTGAGTCATCTGGAGAGTGGGGTTTGTAGATTCACCCTTCCTTAGACCAAAGAACCAAAGGAAGGCACCTTTAAAGTGTCTAAGGAGCATTCCAAGGCTTGTGTTTCAATTTTTTAAGACAAAAATCTGCATCTAGTTTACTTTGAGAAATCTTAAAAATACGGGAAAGTACAGAGAAACTGCTCATACTCACACCACCAGCATTGTCCATTCTTATTGGCTCAATAAAAAATCCCAATGAAACTGTGCAACTCAGGTTGGATCTTGAACCGGTGGCTTTTTAATTTAGATCACACCCTGGGTCTCAGGACTTAATGAAGTTCAGGTTCTCAATGCGGAAAGAATTAAGGGAGAGGCAAAGTGATAGATAAGAAGTGAATTTATTTGGACAGAAACACTCCATAGATAGAGTGTGGGCCATCTCAGAAGATGAGAGTCTCCGAAATATGGTGTAATTAGTTTTTATTATCTGGGTAATTTCATAGGCTAATGAGTGGGAGGATTATTTCAACTATTTCAGGGAAGGAGTGAAGATTTCCAGGAATTGGGCACTGCCTACTTTTTGGTATTTTATGATTAGCTTGGAACTCATGGTGCTGTTGAGTGTGTCATTTAGCTAATGAATAGAATCAGTGTATAGTGAGGCTTAAGTCTATTGGAAGTCAAATCTTCCACCATCTTGGAGCTAGTTGGCCCTAGCCAGTTTTTATCATGTCCTATGGCTATGTCATTTTTTAAAGGTTGTGCCCTTCCCCCTTCCCTCCTGTTTCACTAGTAGAAGGAAATATTGAAGATAAATTGGTATTTGACTTTCAACCCTAATACCTTTACTTTCTTCTCCTCCCCAAAGGCCAACATTTTCGTGAATTTGCTATGTTTGCTTCTAACTCCACCTTCTATAGTTATATACAGAAATTATATTTGTTGTTGTTCAGTTGCTGAATCATGTTCAACTCTTTGCAACCCCAGAGACTTTAGCATGCCAGGCTCCTCTTGAATCCATTTACCTAAGATGGGGACTTGAATCTATGTGTTGGGACTCAATCCCAGCCAAAGTGTAGTTTGGAAACTGAACCCATGAAGCCAGGCCTTGAGCCCATCCAAAGCCCAGTTTGGGACTCTAGCCCATGATGCCAGGACTCAAACCCAGCCAAAGCCCAGTTTGGGACCCTAACCCATGTCACTGGGACTCAAACAGCACCAAAATCCAACTTGGGACTTGAACCCATGATCTTTTATTTAGAATCCCTCACCTGGTGCCTGAACTTCCTAAAGCTCAAGTTCTTTGTGTCTCAGTGCAGTAATTCAGCGAGAGGCAAAGTGATAGGCAAGAAGTAGATTTATTAATATAGGATGCTTATAAGAGATGCAAGCGGGCAGGCAGTTCTGCCCCGAGGATTGAGTGAGCTACAATTTTATAATGAAAAAAAGCGGGATGGGGACAAGACCACCTTCTTCAAGTAGACATAGATGCAGATGTAAAGCATACATTGTGAGCTCCTCCTTCATTAGCTTATCCTTCTTATTAGGCAGAGAAGTGTCTGATCCTATGAGGTAAAACTGGGATTATCAAATTACTAGAAGGATGGTGACATTTTTCTTCCATCTAATGGCCTGGGGCATATCTTGTGGTTTTGTTTATGGTTTTATAGTTCAGTTCAGTCGCTCAGTCATGCCGACTCTTTGCAACCCCATGGGCTGCAGCATGCCAGGCCTTCCTGTCCATCACTAACTCCCAGAGTTCACTCAAACTCCTGTCCATTGAGTTGGTGATGCCATTCAACCATCTCATCCTCTGTCATCCCCTTCTCCTCCTGCCTTTGATCTTTCCCAGCATCAGGGTTTTTTCAAATGAGTCAGTTCTTCGCATCAGGTGGCCAAAGTATTGGAGTTTCAGCTTCAGCATCAGTCCTTCCAATGAATATTCAGGACTGATTTCCTTTAGGATGGACTATACTAATTGAGGTCAAGAGAAATACTAATATTGTTTCCAATAGTTTTCCATTTTTATTTGGTTGCTATCTGGCCTTAATCTCTTCAGTCTAAGAATTGAAATCATAGGCCATTAAAGATCATTGATTTAAGCCAAGGAAACTAAATCAGAAGTCAGTTTTCCTAAACTGTAAGCTTCACGAGGGCAAGGACTACATCTG